TCTCCCTTTGAAAGGCTGAAGGAAAGGTGCATTGAAACATAGAAACACTTAGACTAGTACTTGGCACTCCAATGAATTCATGAAGGCATTGTTAAAGGGGGGGGGGGGCAGGGGCAGCTGGGGCAGTTTACTTAACCAGGCAACATGCTGGGCTCTGCGGGGGGTGAGAGGGTGGTGGGGACTCTGAGCCATAAAGGTCAAGAGAAAAGGCACAAACTTATTTTGCCAAGTGGCCTCCCACCATTAACCTTTTGTTCTAGTTGGTGAGGCCTGAGGAGCACCAGTTCCCCAAATATATGCAGGTGCCCCCCCCATGACAACAGCCCTCCTGGCACAGGTCAGCAGGGCAAGCAGCTGTCTCCACACCTCCAGAACTCAGACTTTCATTTGCTAATGAAAAACGAAAACAAAACACTTGAGGACTAGAACACAAAAGAAGATCCTGCCATCAAACTAAAGACTCAAAAGTCCCTCATTTTAGGAAAAATGCTCTTGCCTGGAAACTTTCTCACCAGAGGAAAGCTGGGTTAGAGAAAGTGAAGAGGGAAAGAAAATGCACAACACACAGGCAAATGTAAATCCAGGAGGCCTTCAAAGGGGTGATCAAAACATCTGGCGATGGGGCTGGGGATTTAGCTCAGTGGCATAAGTACCTGCCTTGCAAGCAGGCAGTCGTGAGTTCGATCCCTGGTACCCGATAAAAAGGAAAAAGACACACACACACAAAAAAAACAAACCACACAACATCTGGTGAGTGTTTAAATAAAGGATGTATTACACCCCCCAAAATTACTACCCTAAAAGACACACTTCCATCCACCCCTCCGAATACTCTACCTCAACTCAGACACACTTACCCCATCATTTTTCTTCCCCCTTTTGGTCCCCAGAATCAAACTCTGGACCTTGTGCTTGCCAGGCAAGCACTGTGCCACTGAGCTAACTCTCTGGCTATGCCATCATCATTTTTTTTTTGTTTGTTTGTTTTTTTCGTTTTTATCAGTACCAGGGATCCAACTCACGACTGCCTGCTTTCAAGGCAGATGCTTATGCCGCTGAGCTAAATCCCCAGCCCCCATTTTTTTTTTTAAGAGAAAAAAACAAAAACCAAGAAACAAACAACCGAAAAACAGCAACAAAAGCTAAGTAACAACAAAACAACAGTGATACAGGATTTCAAAACAAGATGATAGGAATTTAACAAATGGGTGTTACACCACACCACCATTCTTGCCACGTTCCAAAGCAGCACTGAAAGTCCCCTTTCACGTCTTTGAGTGTGATCAAAACTACAGTGAATGCTGTTGCAACTCATAAAAACACAATGGTGTGTCCTCATCCACCGTATTCTCCAGGTCTAGTACCACCAGACTTCTGCCTCTCCCTCAAAGTCTGAACAACTCGGAAGTGAAAGTTTTGAGTTGATTCAGGACATGGCAGCAGCATGACAGCTAAAGACCTGCCCAGAGGACTTCCTGAACTGCTTCAGAAGGAGCTGAGAACACTAAGTGTGTTTGAAGCAAACAGGAGAGCTTCGAATGGAAACAGCAATACATCTTTTGCTGTCATAAATTATTTAAACACCGTTACCTTCCAATCACACCTCAAACCTTCAGGTCTGTACCCAGGACTAAGGTCACTCACATCTGCTTGGCAGGATGCTCCATCCTTAGGAGCCTTGAGAGGCTGAGTCCCAGGTCCAGGGCCGCAGGAGCAGGAACAATGGTTGTACCTGGGCTAACGAAGTCGGCCTCCCTCTTCCTCCGCTGCGTTTTCTGTCTGAGTTGGCCAGCACCAACACTCTGTGTGCCTAAATGCTTTTATGTAGGCGCGCATAAAAATCTATACACACCTATCAACAGCTAAGAGGCCAATGGGACCCTCTGTGCCTTTTCTAGAATTTTCTGCTTTCCCACAAAATAACAAGCCCAGAGTGAGAACCTGCATACTGTGTAGTGGCTCTTCCCTCACCTTCCCAGAAGCCCATTAGGCCTTTTGGATGCCATGCAGCCCATTGGGAGAAGGAGTGGACTAGAGCGTCACTGCTTGTGGGGGAAAGCAGCTCCTCCTGCCTGCACCACCCTCTGGGATTCCACAGTGGCTTAAGAGCTGCCCTGTGTAGCTGCCTGGTCTCTTCTTTATTGCTCTTACCCTAGGACCAAAGCACCGCCCCCCAGCCATTTCTCACTTGCCATCACATCAGATCTCCCCCCATTTTGCTCCTCAAAATGTCTTCAAGGGGCTGGGGAGGTAGCCCCCTGGCAGGACACCTGGCAAGCATGTGGAAGGTTCTTACAAACCTCAGCACTAAAAAAGAAAAAAAAAAGCAAAAAGTACTCATGGGTAGTTTTGTCTAAATTCTGGCTAGATGTCCAAATTCTTTTTGTTGTTTTACTTTTTTGAGACAGGTCTTACTATTTAGTTCAAGTTGGCCCTGAATTTATTATATAGCACAACGTAACCTCAAACGAGAAGCAAATTTCCTGCCTCAGCTTCCTGAGTACTGGGATTATGGGTATGTGCCACCATGTCCAACTAGATGTCCAAATTCATGTAAGAACTCAAAAACCTCAAAGTTATTTCTACCAAGTGACCTAAGTCAGGCTTGCTGACAAGAAGAAAAGCCATCGTGTGCACACCCCATCTGTACAATAAGTGTATCCAAGTTGTGCTATGAGGCCACAATACCTCCTGGTGGCTGTACCATATCTTCCAGAAGGCAGTGAACAGCACCAACCCAGATGCTAGTGCTGTATAGGGTTCAGAAAACAACCTCCCAAAGTACAGTGCTTTGGCCTATTGAACTAAAGGACACTGGGTGGCTTCAGGAGCAAAGTCTTGCTCTGACCAGGAGTTTAGCTTGGTGGTGTAAGCACAATCCCTGGTACCAAAAAAATAAAAAGTTTTTAAGAAGTCTTTCTCCGACCTTCTCCCCCAAAACCAAGCCACAGACAGACCCTAAGACCTCCTGTTCCTGAAGGTGGGCCAAGAACTATAATCCTTTGCCTCCAAAGACAATCATAAAATCTAAAAATACTACTCTGATCATCCCTACCTGTCTGTGTAAGAGCTGGCCAGAAAGGAATTCTCTGCGCCTCCCTGACTGCAGCAGATTGTAAGACCTTCAGTTCCCAAGACCCTGGCTATACACAGAGGAAGCATGCCCCACAGCAAGGCCTTGCTGAGGGCTCCGTGTTCGTCTACTGCCATTAGGCCACAGCTTTCTGTCCGATCAGTTTTCTACACTGTTGGCCACTCTTCCTCTTATTAAGTATAAAAATGAAATGTTTTCCCTGGGTCTTCGGGTTTTCATTTATTTTTAGGGGGTTAAGTGTGCGGTTCACTTGTAGAGTGCTTTGCCTAATATGTGTGAAGCCTCACTCCAGCACCATAGAAAATTTTAAAATGCATAAATCTACTATGCTCTTCTCTTGTTAATCTGTCTTGTGTCATGTCCACTGTGATGGGATAGTGTCACACCTTTCTGTCCCTATACCAGCTTCCCCCACTGCTGGCATGGTCTAGAAGGTGCCACCAAGGCTGCCTGTGACTTTGCAGGAGCCTGCTCACATTTCACCCCAAAGGTCTGGGGTGCTGGAGCGGGGCTGCATCCCATGTCCCCTCCGGAATCTCCTATGCATTCACCCTTTGAAAGGGGGGGGAAGCAGAGACTGTAACCGCTAATTCAAACCAGAGAAACCCAGGCCGCAGAGCTGAAAAGACTTTTCATGCAGTCTGTCTGAAAGACCCTTCCCTCTGAGAATTTTGGCTTGGCTACTTGGCTTTCTGCTCTCCAAGTCAGAAGCCTATTATCTTCACTCACTCCTGCATATAAAGGAGATGAAATATGCATGTGTGGTTTTGCAATGAGCTTTTTTTCTTCTCCTCCCTCTCTTAAGGAAAGAAAAGTGGGGACAGAGGTGGAGCAGGGACAGATGATGTGAAAGTGAGAACCCAAGACTCAGTGGCACCTGCCTGGGCTATAGTGACATCATCCCACCTAGACAGATGACACACCGCACCAGGTGCCTCCTGCTGCCTATCCGTTTGCCCTTAGGGACTAAAACAAATATTTATTTGCTGCTCCTCCTCAGACGGGTTCCTCTCAGGAGTCCAGACACAGGGCTGGAACAACTGATGAACTGTCACAACTGATGAACTGTCAACAACACACTATTAACTGGCCCCCACAACCCCACACAAAAGCAGATAGAAGGAGGCTATTACTGGACACTGCACTCACAGGAGCGGAAGGTGAGTTTCTCCAACAGAAGCAACTATCCCGTGTTTTCTTTTTTCTTCTTCTTCTTTTTTTATTTATTTTATTTATTTTATTTATTTATTTATTTATTTTTTTTTTTTGTCTTTTTCCATTTTATCAGTACCGGGGATCGAACTCACGACTGCCTGCTTTATGCCACTGAGCTAAATCCCCAGCCCTATCCCGTGTTTTCTAATAAAGCAGTCTGAAAAGACGGGGAAGGTGGCGTCTCTATTCAGCTAGGAGGACAGGATGTCTCCTGAGCACCACCTGTTTCTTTTTTGTGGCAAATATCTCAAACTTCCTGATTCGAGAAACACCACACTACCCACTACAACAAGGTATGAAACCACAATGCAGCACCCACTCCAAGTCTGAGAGAGGTGGAGACAGAAATAGAAACAGCTCATCCCCTTGGATGCCCACTTTAGGTGCCCCACAGAGCCTCGACAAGGGGCCCTGTCTGCTGACCACCTCTGCTCACCGGGACACAAAGCCTCTCTCCGCAGAGCATGGCTCTCCTTAAGTCAGGAACCTGTGGCTCCCGGGTCTGAAGAGTAGAGGAGGAGGCATCTCGGCTACAGTGGCAGCAGTAAGGCACACCCCGGGGCTGCAGCGTCCGTGTCCTAACAGGGGGATTGACCTCCGGGAACAGCCTGGGCCCCCAGCCACAGGTCCCGCTCCCCCGGGGGCCAGGCAGGTATCGCGGGGCGTCCCCCCAGCCGGACCCAGCACTCACCCACTGTCCTGATGCTGAAGCCTCGCGGTGGGCGCAGCGCCCGGCGGCGCCAGGCGTCGCGCAGCACCTGCAGGCAGGCGGGCGGCGCGCGCACCAGCAGCACCGCGCGGCGCAGCCAGCCCTGGAAGGCCAGCCGCGAGGCGGCGCGCGCCAGCCGTGCGTCCCAGGAGCAGCGAGCATTGGCGCGGCGGAAGGCGCGGAACACTGTGCGCCCGCCTGGCTCCGCCGCCGCCCCAGCCGCCTCCCGCGCCTCCACCCGGCAGAGCACCAGCGCCAGCGAGCCGGGCGCCAGCTGCACAGGCCGGGCCATGGCCGCAGCCTGCAGCCTCGGCCACCTCGCACGACCCGCGGAAACTATGGGCAGACCCTGGAGCAAGCAGCCGGACCTGGTGCGGGAGGCGGGACAGGGGCGGAGCGGCCGCTGACCCCGCCCGTGCAGGGCCCCGCGGGGATCCCGATGTTCTGACCGCCGAGGCGTACGAGGGGCTTATCCAAGTCCTAGGGGAGCCCGGAGCACCCCCAAGAGCCGACCCGTCGCTCCTGGAGTCCCAGCCCTGGGAGCACAGGGGTCTCAGCTGCCACCTCGGCTTTGGGGTCGTTCTCCGTGAGCAAGGACTCCAGGACCCGCGGCATGGGGTTCGCTCAGGCCGAGAGGCGGATGCCAGTCTCGATTCTGCTCCTGTGTAGACAAGCTATTCGCTTCTCTCTCTTCAGAGCTATCCAGAGTCCTCATTTTACAGGATAACTGGAGGACACTTTCATCCATGGCATTCTTTTTTTTTTTTTTTTTTTGGTCTTTTTTTCTTTTTATCGGTACCGGGGATCGAACTCATGACTGCCTGCTTACAAGGCAGGCGCTTATGCCACTGAGCTAAACCCCCAGCCCTATCCGTGGCATTCTTGCATTTGCTCGCGTTTTCTTGAGGAGGAAAGCAAAGTGTTGCGCAAGTACCCGCCCCCGCCGCCCCCCTCCCCCGCAGTCAAGCGTGAGGCCACTTGAGTGGGACAGCCTTGGGCTGCAGGGCAGATTCGGGTAAGCCAGGCACCATCTGCATAGGAGCTCCTGGGGCAAAGGGAGGACAGACAACTTGTGATCTCTGGTCGCTGGAGAGAGTGGCAGGTGCCTCGGAGCAGAGAACTACAACGAGGGTGCTAAGGAACTAAGAGGTTGGAACCCTGAATGGGTCCCAAGTGAGTGCTCCTTGAAGAAGCATGTGAAGACTTTGGAGCCTGGCATGGTAGTGCACACCTGAAATCCCACCATTCCTGGAAGCCTAGGCAGGCGGAAGGGTCCCAAGTGGGTGTCCATCATGCATATGCAAATATTTCATAATTTGAAAAATCCAAATTTCCAATCATTTCTGGTCCCAAGCATTCTGGATATGGGCTACTCGAATATTATTAACCCAGTTTTTAAAATTTTGTTTCTCTTTTTTGTTTTGGTACTGGGGATCACAGTCATGACTGCCTGTGCTTGCCAGGTAGGCACTTATGCGACTGAGCTAACTCCCAGTTTTTGTTTTTGGTGCTGGGGATCGAACTCATGACCTAGGGTTTGCCAAGCAGAAACTTACCACTGCTGAGCTAAGCCCCTGACCCCCTCTACCCCAGTTTTTTCACAGACTAGAAAAGTGCATCTAGTTGTATTATGTATATACATAATACAGTTGTAGGGTAGTAAGAACTGGGAGGTAGGCCACCAGTAAATCAGATTTCCTTCTCTCTGACAAGCCCAATTTAATAGTTTGTTTTTTTTTTTTTCTTTTAATTCTTTGAGGTAGGTTATGCTGCCCAGGCTAGCCTTGAATTTGTGACCCATCTGCCTCAACTTCCCAGGGTGCTGGGATTACAAGTATGCACCATCCATGGCAGTTTACACTATTTCTTCTGCCTAGAGAAATTTTGACCTTTATTTACCATGAGGTTCCCACAAAACCTCACTCACAAAATCAGTGATACATCTGGAAAGATCTGATCTGTTCTCAAGCACATCATTAACGCCTTCCTAACACGTGTGTAAGGAGTAATTACCAGTCTCATCAGGCAACCTGTGGGTCACACGTGGACTTGAATCATCCCAGTGTCTAGAACATAGTTGCCTTCACCCAGAATCAATCCAGTTAATTAGTACTTAATGTGGAGTAGAATTGTTTATGTGGCCTTCTCACCAGCCAGTGTCACCACTCCAAGAACACATCTGGCTTGTAGGGTGACTCACTCAGCCAATAGTCAGTAGCCCAGGCAAAGCCTCAAGAAATAGCTTCTTTATCTGGACATGTGGTCCCAGCGGTTTCTTTCATCTGGTTACAGCTCATGTTAGAGTGGGGATGATACTTGGATTAACTGCCTCAAAAGTTTGTTTTCATACCAAAGTTCATAGGCTAAAGTTCCCTTCCCTTAACCTAGAAAATCAAGCCCTGCCACTTAAAGCAGATTTAGAGAGCACTTCCAATCTGCCTTCTCTTTATTATGCTCTTCTACAGCACCCTGCTTCCCTTTATCAGAAGTCAAACAGGCAAATCTAGAGACTCTTGTTTGCCTTTGAAAGGGAAAAGTGAGGCTTTGCCAACCAACTATATTTGTTGATTCGGAGCACAGAGAAAAGGAAGTGAGGGGCAAGGATGTCAAGAAAAAAAAATATATTCATGGGGGCTGGAGATTTAGCTCAGCGGCATAAGCACCTGCCTTGCAAGCAGGTGGTCGTGAGTTCGATCCCTGGGACCGATAAAAATGAAAACGACAAAAAAAAAAGTGACTTATTCACTCTAAAAAAAAAAAAAAAATATATATATATATATATATATATATATATATATATATATTCATGACACTTTAAAATGGACAAGGGGGTCATGGAACCCATTATAGTGGCACTGTTCTGTAAACCCAGCAATGTGGGAGGCCGAAGGCGGAGGATCACATGTTCTGGCCCAGGCTGGGCAATTTTAATGATTTAGGGAGATCTTGTCTCAAAATCTAAAATGAAAAATACAGGCTGAGGATGTCACTCAGTGTGAAGGCTCTGGGTTCAATCCCCAGTACCTCATAAATACAGCCACCCGCACATCTATACATCCATCCATACATGGGGAGGCACGAGGGTGGGTACAGGGACCACTGGAATGAGGGACTGGCGGGGCTTGACTCGACAGAGCAAGTGGAGAAAATGCAGCTGGTTAACTGCACTTGGGGCCATCAAAGCCAACAAATTTTCTAAGGAAAATGAGACTCCAGCACCTCATTAAAACTCAGGGTTACAGGGCAGGTCTCAGCCTGAAAATATGACTTCCTGAAGGAAAGGCAGAGCATTAGTCCATCAAGAAGTTTGCAAGCGAGAGCTCTGGGGTCAAAGTAAAGCAGACCAGTGCTTTATGTGCACACAGTGGGGGAGTGTGAGTACATGGAGACCAAGATACAGTTTTAGAGTTCTTAAGGAGAAGCCACACTTTCCTCCAGTGTTATGGCAGCAGAGGCCATAAAGCTGCACCTCAGATCCATTTATATTTCTCACCAAAAAAAATCTGGCCCCACTCTGGGTGCCTAGTTCATGATGGAAGTGTTTCCTGCTCTGAAGTTTCATTTCTTTGTTACAATGAAAGGGGAAAAAAAGATGCTAAGGCACTTCCTCTGCACCTTGAAATTATTAGTACTGATACTGGGGAATGAACCTAGGAAATACTGAGCTACAACCCCAGCCCTTTTCATTTTTCATTTTGAGACTGAGTCTGGTTAAACTGCGCAGCTGGCCTCAGACTCAGGGTCCTCCGGTTTCAGTCTCAGCTGGGATTGCACGTACCATTTCTTTAAGCTTCCTAAGACTGTTGACTCCTCTATATCCTCTAAAACAAGCTCTCAGTAGTCCCCCAATGCAAGCAAACAGCTTCCTGAACAAAGTTGTGACCAAACAGATTTAGTTCAACATAAGAACTAAATCTAAGCAAACTGTAAGAGGCTTTACAAAAATACTGTGACACAATAGTGATGAACCCATCAAACCTGCATATTCTGGGTATTGCTTGGGTGAAAAAGCAGCAGTGGTGATACATGCCTGTAGTTTTTAAAACAGTACAGCCTCTTCAACAGATTCAGGCAACAAAAGCAAAAATGGGGTGTATTCGGAACCTATTAAAGTGATTTAAAATGCTAGGCACAGTGATACAAACCTGTAACCCCAGCACTCTGGGAGGTTAAGGCGAGAGGATTGTAGGTTTGAGCCAAGACTAGGCAACTTAAGTGACTCATTGAGACAGATGTAGCTCAGTGAGAAGGTATTGGATTCAATTCCTAGTAATACACGCACACATACAGAAGTATGTCAAGCAGTGCAATGGAAAGAGTGGAGCTTATTGGATCCTATTGTAAAGACTATATATTTTTGTTTTGCTTTTATTTTTTGAGACAGCATCTAGTTACATAGTTTAGGGTGCCCTTGAACTATGTAGCCCAAGGCTGGCCTTGAACCCATAGTAATGCTCCTGACTCAGCCTCCTGAATACTGGGATTACATGGATATGCCACCATGTCTGGCTTTGAAGATAGCAAATTTATGGTAGAAAAATGTAAACACTGGATAAAGGGGGAAGTGAAGAGTGAAATATGAATTTATGAGGAAACTAATATGCTCTGAAATTACCTTGACATTTTTTGGGTACAGTACGTTTTTTTCATCTTTTGAGACAGGATCTTGCTGTTATCCTTTGGGCTCAAATCTGTGATCCTTCTTCCTCAGCCTCCTCAGCTCCTAAAATGCTGTTACAAGCATATACTACTATGCTTGGGTCACATCTATTATTGTCTTATTGAGACAGGGTTTCATTATACAGTTCAGGATGGCCGCAAATTCACAGCAGTCCTCCTGCCCCAGCATCCTAAGTGCTGGGATTACAAGTATGCTGGGATCACAGCATCACACCTGGCAGCTTACCTCTAAGAATCCATATGTTGGATTTGTGTGTATCAAGCTATCATAGACTTTTATTGTTTGGTTTTTGTGGTACTGTGAATTGAATTCAAGAGTCCTGTGAATGCTAGGCGAGGACTCTACCACTGCTACATCCCATGCCCCTAGCCATCATAGTTTGACATTACTTTTCACAGGAGAAAGATTCACAGTGAAAATAGATTAGTTTTCGAGTAAATGTGCTTACATTGTATATAGTGCTATCACTTAGGTTGATATTTAGCTCCTCATAGAATCAAAAAAAATCTAAAGTCCAGTCACTGTTTCATCTATTGTTTCCCCTCACTTTGTCCAAACACACTTGATAAAGCAGCTGAAGTTACAGGTGCCCAGTATAGAAGACAGATTGACAGGTGTGGCTATGGAGGGAGCTGCAAATGTGGCCCAAATTTGGACCATTGCCTGAAAGCTAAAAATTTTCACATTTTTTTTTTAATCGGTACCGGGGACCAAAACTCACCACCGCCTGCTTGCAAGGCAGGTGCTTATGCCGCTGAGCTAAATCCCCAGCCCTAAATTTTCACATTTTTGTTTTAATATTTTTAACAATGTGGAGGAAATGAAACCTCCTGACGTGAAAACACGATTCAAAATTTCAGTATTGTTGTTTGATGGTACTTGTGATTCAACCTAGGGCCCTCACAATGAGCCACATTCACCAGTCCATTTTTTTTTGTTGTTGTTGTTTTGAAGCAGGATTTTGCTAAGGCAATAAACTTCCTAGCCCGGACAGGAATTTACATCCTTTTGCTCCTCAGCCTCCTAGAGTGCTGGGATTATAGGTTTATGGTACCATGACTAGTCCGCACAACTTTGTACTTTTTTTGGTGGGGATGTACCAGGAATTGAACTTAGGACCTCACAGGTGCCAGGCAGACACTGTGCCACTAATCTATATCCCTGGTCCCCAGGACTTTTTCTTTTTATCCTTGAAATAAAGTGGATTTGAGATAGGGTCTCGCTATTCAGTTCAG